CGGCCGGTCAGGCACGAAGCACTGCCTAAAACAGCAGAGTCTGTGTTTGCACCTGCTACACGCTTGCCCCGTGTCAGCCATGCTCTCCACGCCTCGGATCAGCTGCAGCGCACTATGAAGAGCATGGCTAACAAGGGGCGAGTATGTGGCAGGCAGGCACACGGTCTCTGCTGTTTTCGGTGGCGCTTCTTACTCGGCCACTTTTCCTCTTTCTTCTCCCCGCTCCTCCTTCCCTCGCACCGGCTGCTCCAGTTGCTGTCTCTCCATTGCAGCACACATTGCAGCCCGGGATCCACTTTGGCAGCAGCAGGGTTTGGGGGATGATGAGTCCCCATTCGTGGTGTGTCTGCCGACCAATCACCATGCCACCTCTTGGGAGGGCACTGAAAAAAGCAGAGTCCGTGTGTGCGCCTGCCTCGCTCTCGCCCCACATCCGCCATGCTCTCCACGGCGTTGCAGCTGATCCGAGGTGTGGAGAGCACAGTTGACAGGTGACTGCGTAGCAGGCATGCACACAGGCTCCGCTGTTTTCAGCGGCACTTCGGTGCCTGGCTGGCCGCCTCAGGTCAGCTGCAGTGCGCTGTGGAGAGCAGACGCGGGGCGAGCAAGAGGCAGGCGCGCACATGGACTCTGCTTTTTTGGGTGCCCTCCCAAGAGACGGCATGGCAATTGGTCGGCGGACACACCACGAATGCAACTCCTACTTCAGTGGGTTTTACAAAAACTTGTTGTGACCCAAATGCCAAATTGTATTCAAATGAAAGTGCAAGTGTGAAAAGGCGTGCTTTGTTTTTAACATGCTTTGGGTCTTGTTTCCTTTTACAATAATACTGCTGCCTTGGCTGTAAACCCTAGGAATGTGGAAGAGGTTTGTAGGTTTCCTGATCTCCCGTTTCGGAAACCGCTGACTTACCAGGCCAAGCAGCTCATTGCGAGAGAGATCCAACTGGAGAAGATGAGGCAGATGGAGGCCCCTCTCCAGGTATCGACTTCCCTTGGGAAGCCCCCGGGCACCACTGGCTGGCTTGGTGGCTGGTTCTGAGGAGCTGGCAGGTCATAAGACTCGCGCTACAAATGCACCTTTGGAGCTGGTCTCAAACTGCAAAATGCCCGTGCCCTGACGCCACCAGATTGGCAGGCATTTGGTGGTAATTCAGATGAGCCAAGCTCTCGTTTCATTGCCTCGTTTGCAAAGAGTGAGTCCAAAGCGATTGACTACACCTGCCCATCTCCACCTCACTTTCCCCACCATGGAATTATTATTCATTATGATACAATATCCAGGGGGCTTCTGAGAAGAAACATGGAGGGGAGGTAGTAAAAAGAGGGCAGGGGGATCTTTGTTTGTTTTTCTTTTTTTGCCCATCCCATATCTTAAATCTGCCACTAACTCCCGGGTGTAGCGTTGGTGATCACTCCCAAGGTGATCCGTGATGCATTAAAAGAGAACAAATGTTTTTAATCTGCTCTTTTTAAAAATAAACAATTTGGGGAAAATACACAATTTAATGGGGGCCTTTTGGAACTGATCATAAGTATTTTTATTTTAAGTAAATTTTAAGCCTAACAGTTGAAGATTGCACATAGCTCTGGTAAAACTGATGTAATTTTCCCCTTCTTTTATTCTTCCCCCCTCCTAACCACCCCAATGTTTCTCTGCCCTCCCTCAGGCATTAGAGGCCAGGTCACTCCCCACAGAAACCAACCATGAAGCGGGGACAGGTAGGGAGCTGCGCAAATCCAGGATCAGGAACCACGAGCAAAGTCTCGACCAAATTGTGAAGAGAGCGACAGTTGAGGAAAAGGTGATGACCATATATAAGAGCTAGAAGGGCAGGATGGTGCAGTATTGCGGAGTTTGGCCAAAGCATCTGTGGTCTTGTGAGGGAAATTGTGCATAAAAGAAAGCCAACACTCTTTGGCCCGAGAAACCGCATGAGCTGCACAGCTAAAGATTCTGGAACACATTGCTAGGCAGTCTGGGAAAGGAGCTTGAGTTGGAGACCCATCAAAACATCCACTAAGTAAGGAAGCTGCTTCATGAAAAATTACAAATTGCAAATGAAAAACACGATTTCAGTCCCCCAATTCTAGTATAGTTTTTTTAATTGGTTATTTTTCATCCCCTCAGATTAGCAAAGTTTCTAGTATAAATTGACCCAGTTCTCAGAAAACCTGGCCATGCCATGCCAGGTTTTCTAGGCAGGAGGGCACATGTCCCAACAAAGCATCATCCGGGAGTCACCCATTTTGTCTAGGTGGAGTCCTAGGGGATTTGGGAATGAATGAAGATCATAAAGCTAAAGTTGAATTTAGCCTTGTACCTGTCAACTTCCCATTTCTTTTCATTGTTGAAAAATGTAGGGAGAAATTCAGTAAAGAAGGTGCCAAGTAGGGCACCTTTATGCCCCTGGGTGCCCTAGTGGAGATCCAGGCTCTGGCAGAGGTTGAAACAGCTGCAGCCTGTTGTTTTTGTGCTGCTCTTTGAGAAAAGTAGAAGAGTAGTTGCTGATGATCTCTGCTTCCCTCCCCCAGCCAGAAAGAGACTTCTTTGGCCAGGTCATCCTCAAGAAAAAGGCAGTCCCTTCACCAGGTAAGATTTCGGCTGAAGGGAAACCTCCTGGCCCCTCCTCTGAGGAAATGGTGGGTTAAAGTACGGTTCGGCTCACCTGTCAAATTGGATTGAAATGTCTCCTCAGGGAAAATAACCCTCATGGGGAAGAGGAAGCATTGGGTGGGCTGTAGCCAGTGGTGGGATTCAAATAGGTGAACAATCGGTTCTCTGTGTGGATGCCGCTTCCAGAAGTCCATTCTGGGCCTGGGCAACAAAAAATTAGCTACCGGTTCTGCTGAACTGGTGAGAACTGTCTGAATCCCACCACTGGCTGTAGCCCTTTCAATCTTTGTCCTCTGCAGGGACAAACAGGGCGTGATGCGCTCTCTGTTGTTAAAGCATACTGAGAATCATCAGAGTCCCTCCTTGCTTCTTTGGTTGGCCATGCCAGTAGTAGCATTCACTGGGTTTGAAAGTGATTTAAATTTGCAGCATAGAAATTGTAGTAGTTTTGAGCTTTCATGAAAGGGTTGCTCAGCCCCAGGAAAACAGAAAGCCCATCTTGTCCCTGTAGTCCCCAAAAGGGGGACAGTCAAGGTTGTGGATGAGATTTCAGTGGCAATATACCCCACGACTATAGTGTAGCGTTCCTGGAATCCCCTCCGTGATATTTTCTTTAATCTGTTAAAATTCTTAATACATTAAAGTGCTGACAGAAACAATGAAAAGCTGTCAAGCCCCTTTAGCTCACTAAGTTAGTGGTTCTTAAACTTATGCAGTGACTATAAATGTATCATGATTACACCAACTTGAATATTTTTCTGTAGTTTATAATTGTGAATTTGTATTGTGGTGATTGCACCCCAGTGAGGGACATGGTATAAAAAATATCTTGATTTTTTGACTTGATTAGGTCTGCCTTGAACTGAGAACCAGAGAATGGCTCAGGCTGGTTAAAGAAGGCAGTTCTAACCATGATCAGTGATCAAGGCTTGCAGCCTGATGATTTCCTTGTCCTTGGATTCTTCTGCTTGTCCCACCAAATAACAGATTAGGGTTATTTTTGTTATTGTTCCCCTGCAGGGCTCAAGGGGAAAAAAATACCTTAATCTCCCCTTCAGGTAGGACAAGTTGAAGAACCCAACGACCAAGGAAATCATCAGGCTGCAAACCTTGATCACTGATCATGGTTAGAGCTGTCTTCTTTAACCAGCCTGAACCATTCTCTGGTTCTCAGTTCAAGGCAGACCTAATCAACCACCTCTTGTTTATAAAAAAAGTCATATAAAGAAGGGGGGAGATTTTAGTTGTGTTATTCTAGTCACCATTTTGACTTTATGATCGTCAAAGCCCTTACAGCTACCATTTTTTCTTTTCTTTTTTCCTCCTAGAAGCTAATCAGGTACCTGAGAAAAATACAGTAGAAAAGCAAATTGGAAAAGCTGTTGGGCAAAGTGATGTTTGGTTCCAGTTTAATGAAGGTGTTTCCAATGCAGTTCGGAGAAACATTTATATTAAAGATTTTCTTTAGCAATTAAAAAAATAAAAAAGGAAATAAGGGCATGAAAAATCAGGCAAAAGGAGGAATTTTTAATGTATTTTTTGTATGAAATCCTATTTTGGAGTAAATAAAGACATGCTTAGTATTGCTTTATTTCATTTTTATAAACTTATTACACTCATGCAGTTTTCTACTGCAAAACTGAATTTCCTAAAATACAAAAAAATGAAAATGCTTACAAAATGTATGTTTATATCTAAATAAAGAAAACCGCAAACAAAATTAGATTTACAAGAAAGAGCAACTGGTGGGGTTCCTAAGAAGGACTTTGATTCTGCTTCACTCTTTCTGGTTACAATTAATTTCCATTCTTTTAGTTGCAGTGATTCAAAATAGGAAGTCTCCTCCATACAAATTTATCCCTCCCAATGGTTCCCAAATCATGAACCGACAGGTTTAAAATAAGCAGGTCCTAACATACTACAATGTGGCACTAGAGGCTCCCGTCATTCTGTGCCAGTGAAGAATAACCCACGTTCATCCTGGTTCTCTCCCACCACGCAACAGATGGCCAGGCCACTATCCCCGGTAAGGATAATCCGGCTTTCTGTAGGACAACCCTTTGGAAGCAAATGCACAGCCAGGAGCTGGGAGACTTTGCAAATTCAGTGCCGTCAGAATTTCAGAGAGAGCCACTGACGTAAGGCCCACCTCCAGTGCCCCTTGTGCATGAAGCTGGATCTCTACTTAAGCCACACCCACCCCAATAGTGCCCAGGAGACCAAATGTTTGGGAAGCCTTTAACACAGTCCTTGCTTAAGGCCCCAGCACTAACAAAGGACTATGAATGAGGATTTAGCCAGAGCGGCAAGCGAATAATTTTGGAGCCTTCTGTTTAATGCAATTTTGGAGCATACCCAAAGGAAAGCATTTGTCAATCAGGGACAGTGCTGGGCTAAGAACATGGATTAGAGGATTGTGCATTTTCCTCTTTCCACCCAGGGGTTGTTTTTCATTCGTTCTGGGTTCAGGAATGGATCTTCTGGAATCCCCTCCTCGATCCATTTAAGGAATCTGGAAAGAAACAGAAAGCAAGATCTCTCACTGATAGCATCCAGTGTTATACTTGGTTGTTATACAGATTGATGAAACTATCATCTCCAGGAGTAACATTCTCATCTTTAAAAAGTGATGCTAAATTGCTTCTAAATACAGTTGCAAGCAGGAATTTACAGGAAAGTAATCAGAAGTGTGAGTAGGAGCAACAAAAAAATTTGCGCATCCACATTACCCATATGAATCTCTGAATGGCTGCCTTTGGTATAATGTTATTTGAAAATTTCCAAAGCTCAGGAAAGTTCTTGGATACCTTTCTGTAAGAATCGCTGTTCTTCCACCACAATAATATTTTTTTAAAGAAATAGGTAATTGTATGTGACTACTTTAAAACAGTTATTGAATAAAAGCATGTGCCATTGTGGCCACAGATTGTTTTGATATCACAAAAAGCAGGAGATTTCTGGATGCAGCATGTCAGTAATGTACACTCCACATGAACCAGGCCCAAGCAGTTTGCCTTCGGTGACACAAAAAGACCCAGCTGGCTTTATGTCTAAAGGAAGACAAACAGAACTGGACCAGTTTTCTCTTTGCTAGTCCAATGTGTTTGACCACTACATCAAATCATCTTCTGTATCAAAGGAGGAGGAAAATTATGCTTCGAAACACACAGCAGAGGTGATTTCTTTATAGAGATGCAAAGTAATCCCAGCAGCAGAATTCACAGCCTGATTTCTCTGCACAGAGGCTTATCAATATGTTATTCTGATCAAAAGTCATTATCTAACTTGGTTTGGTCTACTTCAGGGGTCTTCAAACTTGGCCCTTTTATGACTTGTGGACTTCAACTCCCAGGCACGCTGGCTGAGGAATTCTGGGAGTTGAAGTCCACAAGTCATAAAAGGGCCAAGTTTGAAGACCCCTGGTCTACTTCAACACCCACAATGTTGGAATAACAGACTGGAAAATCTGGCCTGGATCTGGCTGCAGTTTGCCAGATTTCAGACTGGATCTTTCCAATTCTAACTGGAAATTAAATCTGGAAATGTAAATGTGCAGATCCAGCCTCCATGTTAACTTGTTTCTGAACCCATTTTCCAAGTTTGCATGGAATCCTGCTCACCCAACAGGTACAGTTCACGCAGTATACTAATTGCAAATAAACAAAACACCCAGCCCTGTTGCTTGAATGCAGTTGTTCATTATTTAACTCTTCAAATCTTCTACTGAAACCAAATAAAAAGACTGACACATAATTACTGGAACAATAACTGAATAATCAAAATTCCTGCTAGCCCTTCCCCCTTTTGCACATTTTCCACTCATTTTCAAACCTTTTGTTTGCAACTTTAGGGGCTAGAAACTCAAGGCTTGTAACATTCTAGTTCTGTATTTGCATAAAATAATATCTGGTGAACTCACTCAGGAATTGTTTTTGATGACACCTCCCGCTTGTAAGCCAACTGATACTTAAGGCTTTCAATTTCCTTTTTCCACTGGGGGGCATCCCACTCATCCATGGAGCCTGGTCTCTGCTGATCTTTTGGTCAAAGAAGGAGGAGAGATGCCTCTCTAAAGAGAAAACAAAAAAGGCTTTGTTAATTTCTAAGTACTCCAGTTCCAAAGAGCTTAGGACAGAAGTTAACTCCCACCATCATAATAATTTTTGCCTGCAATACAGCTAGTCTTTGACTTATGACCACAATTTATTTATTTATTTATTTATTTATTTATTTATCAAATTTATACCCCGCCCTTCTCCTAACGAACTCAGGGCGGCTTACAGCCAGTTAAAACAGATAACTAATACAATAATACTAATTTTAAAATATGATTAAAATGAAATATTCATTATTGGCCGTTTCTTTTAAAATTATTTTAAAAACCAAATTAAAATACCCCTTAGGCCAGTCCTGCTAGCTTAAATAGCCATGTCTTGAGGGCGCGACGGAAGGAGGGGAGATCCGGAATCACCCGGATCTCTGGGGGTAGTTCGTTCCAAAGGGTGGGGGCTCCAACAGAGAAGGCCCTCCCCCTGGGGGTCGCCAACCGACACTGTCTGGCTGACGGCACCCTGAGGAGACCCTCTCTGTGGGAGCGTATCGGCCGATGAGAGGTAATCTGAGGCAGAACGCGGTCTCGGAGATAACCAGGTCCGATGCCATGGAGCGCTTTAAAGATGATAATCAACACCTTGAAGCGCACCCGGAAAGCCACCGGCAGCCAGTGCAGCTCGCGCAGCAGCGGCGTTACATGGGAGCGACGAGTCACTCCCATCACCGCCCGCGCGGCTGCATTCTGAACTAACTGGAGCCTCCGAGTGCTCCTCAAGGGGAGCCCCATGTAGAGAGCATTACAGTAGTCCAGGCGGGAGGTGACAAGAGCGTGGGTGACTGTGCGCAAGGCGTCCCGGTCCAGAAAAGGCCGCAACTGGTGAACCAGGCGTACCCAGTAAAACGCCCCCCTGGCCACGGCCGTCAACTGATCTTCTAGTGTCAGCCGAGGATCCAGGAGGACACCCAGGTTGCGCACCCTCTCCGAGGGAGCCAAAGTTTCGCCCCCTATAGTCAGCGACGGAGTCAGCTGACTATGCCTGGGAGCCGGCAACCACAGCCACTCTGTCTTGGAAGGGTTGAGCCTGAGTCTGTTT